CTTGTTTAACAGGTTGGTGTTTACTGGATTACTACATTGAACGTTCACTAGATATTCAAAAGCGACTAAGTTGCTTCATAAAAGACGTTGTTTACTATCCAATATTACCGTATCCACATTAACTAATTTATGAGCATAATATTTTTGGCAACGCCTCAGTGTCGGTCCAAACCATTTATGTTTCAAGCCGACGTTTCGATGACTGTCTGTCATCTTCATCAAGGCAATTCTGACTGGTTTACTGTGCACTGACGCTAGATGTTACTTGGTGCGTAGTGCACTAAAGGTGTTACATAGTTCATAGTGCACTTTAGCTAGTTTTTATTCTTTAGACCATGTTGATTTGATTATATGGATGACATCCTCCGGGAGCCCAGAAACTGATGCGCGCGTGCGGATAAAAAAAAGTTTTGCCAAAAAAAAGTTGTTTTCATTATGAAATCTACGTGGTCATGAGGGTTGAGCAAATGGGACAGAATATGGTTTGGCGAATAATCTAATCTTCAAGTTCATTTCCTTACAATTTCGTCTTTTTTCGTTTGATTTTGGCATTCTACGACATTGGTATAGTTTTTATTAATTTTTTTTTGTAACTTATGGTAAATTTTTGCTCATTTTGCAACTGTTTTGTACGATTTACAGTAGGTTTGAAAACTTTTTTTTTTTGGAAACAGCCGAAAATTCATGCGCGCGCGGATGTCATCCATATAATCAAATCAACATGGCGTTACAATGCATTCCGGAACGTAGTGTAATTGTGACATACATATTAGGAATTGTTTCATTATAGAGAAATAAACGGTTCCAAATGTAAAGTGTTTCTATACATAATATAAAACTTGTTAACTGGCAATACTGAGCTATCACAGTCCCAAATAGAAATTATTAAAAGTTTTGTCACATATGTATTGTAAGGAATCATAATAATTACAAACAATAAGAAAAACAAATGTCAGTTATTAATAATGTGATCCCAAACACCACTAAGTTTATACCCCCCTCATCACGGTTCATGACTTGATGCCATTGCACATTCATGACATTATAGGTGAGTCACTTAGCATATGCACACTATGACGATGTTGTGAGAGTCAATGATTGCTCCGGAGTATTTGTGGTAAGAAGCCTACGCGGTTTCGTACATGTCCGTTTCATGTGTACATATATCAGACACACAAAAAAGACTGTTTCGTAACAATTTATTTATCAGTCATTAGTCATGGATGCACCGACGGAGGAACTTACAGCAAGCCAATGTATGGCAGACGACTCCTATACGTTGTGGCAAACGTGGTACACGTGTGTCAATAGTTATATTAAAACTTGTACTGGGAGGACGACGTTGTATTATTTCATAACGAGGTAACCATATTTTTTATCAATGTCTGCTCTGACACCCAGTTTTTGCAGGCTCCGTGGGCGGAATGGAACCTTCTCTCGGCGGTATGTAGGATGGCCGGCTATATTAAAATTACGCGTCAAAAACTCTTCTCCACCGCCGCGGGGCCTGCACAGGAGGCTACTCCCGATGTACCAAGTATGAAAACAATCCATCCAGCCGTTTTTGACCAACTGAATAAATAACAGAATGACAAACGCAACTGAAAATGTAATCTCCTTGGTGAAGGTAATAATAATAAAACCCATATCGTGCGATGGGCACTGCTTGATATATGGCCCTAGCTATTGTAGCGCCACGACGGTCTGGCTACCTAACGAGGGTAAGAATATCAGGCGAGGCTAACGGAGAGATAAAACGAGCACCAAACGTTTCAATATACTTTTAATAGCCTAAATGATGATGATGAATAGCCCACGTCAATCATGTGGGTCAAAAGTTCTGGAACGCCAGTCTTGCTAACAAAGACGGTTTGTGGTAGAACAATTGTTTACAGTAGACAGCCGGAACTCGTCATATGGCAAAGGAAGTGGATATATCACAGAGACTATCTCCAATTTTCCAAGCATTTTTCAAAGCATTGGAAAAATGCAGAAACCTTTGATCATGACTTTATTAGCAAAGAAACAGACTTACATAGTTTAGTCTGAAGTATTAGAAATATCAAATGCGAGAACACAAATAAAAACAAGTTAAATCAGGAAAACTTTTATACAACAATTGCTGTGGTGAACAGACTAAAATACGGTCCTGTATAGAAACTTGCGAAAAAGAACAGCCATTTTCACTCTATGACATTCCTATTCCCCACATCGGCCCAAGGTGAAAATGAAAAACGTACAGACCGTTTAATTGCACAGCTAGCGACGAGAAATGTGATTTGACAAGACAGAAAAACCAACCGACGGAATTTTCCAACAGAAACAAAGCTCTCTGCAGAAAATCATTACCAAATCTGATTGCCATCATAAACAGACGTAAAATACATTGCATGGATTCTAACAGAACAGAAGAGTAAGCTACAAAAAGAATGTTAGCTATAAAAACTATGTCGCAACTGACATAATAGAGGCGACAAATAACACGTGTGGAACAATGGAGTTAGCCTTCTAACTCCCTGGTGGAACATAATAGCATTTAAGAAATGCAAAGCGTACATAGCCTAACCGGGCTTCAAAATTATTTGACGTAACTGAAAAAAAAACAGGACGCTATTAAAGACAAATTAAGACTAAAAGCAAACTTCCCCAGTGATATCCATACGGCCAGCACCGATTAACGACGTTTTGAATCGACGAAACTGTGGTAATTTGACGGGAAATTGTCGTAATAGAATACAACATCATTGGCATGTAGTCCAGTCTCGTCTGCACCCTGGGAGGACACCGAAATATTTGTCAACCAATCGACGGTTTTAAATTAGGGCACTGTGACAGTCAATAACACAGAAAAGCATTCGCATATTATGCAGAAGCATATGCGAACCATACTAGTGAATAGAAATCAAGAACAAGAATTCGGAGATTTCATACCTCCATGAAATATGGAGAGTTGATGTGAATGTTTTAGGGGGATTTGTCACATTTAAAAATAAGATCATAATTACAATAATCTGGTTAAATTTATGGCTTTCTAATCTCAAATTATAATATTTTGCTTGTAAAATTGGCATCTTTTGGCAATACATGTCCTTATTAATTATGCAAATGACCTCTATATTACAATCATATATGCATATTAATGTTAACCTTTAAGTAACTTACACATGTAACAAGGTATAAAATTCATCATTCACCATTAAGAAATCACATAATTTTCAAATTAATTTGGGATGGCCACTGACGTGCAGACCGAGCAAGTTTTCGGTTTGGTCATCTTGAACAAAGTGAAATCAGAGGGATGACCGAGAAGAGACACCTCGCCCGTCCAAGTGTCTGGCGCAAATGCATAAGGGACTGGGAGGCTGACGGGCGTAGCTTGGGTGGCCAAGGCCAATAAATCATAATGACCTGTCGTGCATTTTCTCACCATGGCTTTTACTTATTTCCTTACCTTTCAGGTTGCCGTTTTCCATTTACGTACGATGGAAACACCTATCATGCCTGTACCAGCCACGACCATGACCGTCCCTGGTGTTATATATACGGTGGCTCCTGGAAAAACTGTGACGGACGTAAGTTCATTAACACGCTGAACCGTTTCCTTCTACAATTTGCCATTCTGGTTCTGTGTCGGACATGGCCAAAATAACCCGTGCATGCTAAATCCCTTTATGTAACTTTTATTTTTATCAGGATCCCAATGCAGACTCTATCACTTTGCTCATTGTTTAAATTTGTGCACAAAAATTGTCCATGCATTTATTTACATACCCCTGCCATTAATATATATGATTACGGCCCCAAGTTGTTTTCATTGCAAGCCGGCCATATACATGTACACCGTAAACCAATGATCACATTACTTTACGTGTTTTTTTTTCAAAGCATGTACAACGTAAATTATGATACTACTTAAAGAGGAAGGTTGGACTATAAAACCACCCAATAAATTCGGGTACTGTAAACTCTCACAGCTCATTCTGCAACTGGCAGCCGTGGTGAACACATGGGGAGAGCTAGGCTGAGATATTATACCAAGTACACCTCTTCAACATTATGTGGAGACATGGATATGTACATGAAAAGTACATACAAATGTATAATATTTTACTAAACAACAAGAATATAGACTAATAACTACACAGGCATGTACTATGCCAATCCTGGTAAACTGGGACTTCATATATTCAGCATTTCAGACTTGGATTCTAATATAATGCAAGAAGCCGCCAAATGTGTTTCTACATGTTTCTACATTGTATATTTGTTAACATACAACTATCATATCAATAGAAATCTAGTTTGGCTGTGGATAAGACGTGCAATTTGTGATTACAGATACACATGTATAAGTTTTTGAAACAACAAACATGGAAGCTTGACAGAGGCTCATCTCTGCTGCAATGGTTCAAATTGGAAACGGTAGGCCCTTATCGTGTAAAGAGGTTTAAGAAACCAAAATCAGTTGGTCTTGTAGGTTAAGAGATATCATTCCACCCCGTATACTGTTATTTTCCTTCCGAATTATTCTGCGGCGTAGACAGTCGGTTGACTTCAGGGTGAGCAGCTTACAAAAGAAATTATTATTTACTTGGGCAAATTGTTTGCGTGTCGGCATAGTTTTAGGTACAGCAACGGATCGATAAACAGTTGCCCTCGTCATGCCTTTTCTTATTTATTTACCTTTCAGATTGCCCTTTTCCATTTACGTACGGAGGAAAAACCTATCATGCCTGTACAAGCGACGGCCATGACCGTCCCTGGTGTTCTTTAACCACGGTCTACAAAGGCTACTGGAAAAACTGTGGCTGAAGTAAGTTCGTTTCCTTCTACAATTTGTCATTCTGGTTCTGTGTTGAACGTGGCCAAAACAACCCATGCATGCTTCATCTCTTTATGTTTTTAAACAAACGCGTATTTGGGATAAATATTGTCAATACACTGAAATGGAGCGAACACTTTCAACATTTAAACAAGAACCTAGCACAGGTAATTGGGGTAATCAGACAATTAAAGCCGTCCCTAAAAAGACAAGCATTAAGCGATATACGCTGACTTGTTCTTGCCCCACATACACTACTGTAGTACAGTATGGGACCAGGGGGGAAGGGTCACATGGATAAACTCCAGAAACTTCAAAATAAAGCAGACCGTATCTGGGGTACATA